AACTTCCAGGTAAAGAAACTCTCTCTGCCAGTGCATGTCAGCCCCTCTTCAACATAGAGTCTTAGTTGCTAGTGCACTTAGAGATTACGTGACTTGCCCAGGTCACGGAGCCATCACGTGTGCCCAGTTTTCCCCGTTTCCGGGGCTGTCTTTGTGTCCGCCACACCAGACTGCCTCCTATCAAATGATCAGAAAGGGACGTGAGGAGGAAGGAGTCTCTCTATCTCAAATGGAAACACTGCAGTTTTTAATTAGGTGCTTATGAATGGGCGATTCTCCCGTGTCTGAGTCTGCCAATATATACCATACTGCTGTTGCTGTGTTGATAGCTGTTGCTAGTTGTGAATTGATGGGATTACAAAGAAAACATCCCAGAGTCACCTAGGAAATATCCATAGCATAATTACCCTTGTCCCTCCCTCCATCTCCCACGCAGTCTTAATTTTTTTTTTTTAATTTTGTTAAATAAGGTCAGGGTTGGGGAGTGGGGAGAGAAGAAATTACATGGAGACATAAAGGGCATAAGAAGGTTTTGGCCTCTCCCTAATGAGATCATGTGGCATCACCTAAAGAATTTTCTCATCATTTGGGTGGAGTCAGTTCCCTAAAATCAGATTGAAGGAAAAGTCATGGTAATAAGATAAAAAAGTAATGAGGAAAACATTACACATAGCAGGGACTGGAGATGAGTTACAACTTCTCCTCCAGGGCCTCATTAGGGGATGGAGCTGACCTGGGTCCTGCGCAACGGCAAGCTCTGGCAGGCTAGACCTGCCAGGCCTGGAAAGGCTTTGAGGACGTGCCCAGGATGGACCTTGTGCCCTTCCCCTAAGGACTAGCCCAGTGAAGTGTGGAGAGGCTGATCACCAGGGGACTGGGCACCATGTGGTTCACTGTTTTTCAGCCGAGGCAGCTCATCAAGAGCCTCGTCTCGAGGCATCAGGGTGTTCAGATTGGCTTGGGCATGACATTGTTAAAATGACATGTCTTTGAAGTTTTGAAGTGTTAGGACATAAAATGGGCCCGAGCCTGGACAAACGTTCTCTTTGGAGCAGCCCAGGCCCTCTGGGCCTGTCTGGACGTATCTGTCTGTCGTGGTTCTGGCCATAAAGTGGCCGTGTAACCTGGAGCAACATACTAAACCTCTAGGCCTCCATTTTCTCCTCTGTCAAGTGATGGAGTTGGTTGAATAGATGGTTCTTAAGATATTTTTCAGTTGGAAATTTGATCCTCTGGCCTGCACATGTGTGAAGCCCCCACCTAGAGGAGCAGCATAGCACTGGTGGCTCTTATGGAGAAATACTAGTTCATGGGTTTGTTGGAGCTCTATAGAAGCTACAAAACCATCCGCGTCAACGTCTGTCTTTTTTCCCCTTCTTCTGAGAACCTTATTTTCTTGCCAAGAAACATTAAGACCACAGAACTGTGTGCCTCCATTTCTGCACAGAGAGTATTTGGCTTGGTATTCTTTTGAAGGAAGGGTCAGCATCATTTTGGGAGGCCAGCTTAGCAGGATTCTTCTATTACTTTCATTCTTCTCATTATTAAAGGACCCACACTTAAGCAGGACATGAAGAGGTGCTAATCCTTAGCTCTCACGTCCAACTATGAGTAAGGTCTGAGTGGAGCATGGTCTGGTGGTGGTAGCACTCCTGTGGTCCCTGCTGCTGGCAAGAATGAGGCTGCTGGATCCCTTAAGCCTCAGCATTCTGGAGAGCTAAGGCCAAGTAGGTGTTCACACTTAAGCCTGGCACCAATTTGGTGGGCCACCAGCCTGCCTAAGAAGGAGCAGACCCCCCCCCCCCCCAGGTTGGAAAAACAGAGTAGGCTAAAGTTTCTGTGCAGTCAGCCCAGGCTTGGGTCCATAAGTGGCCACTGTACTTCCAGCATGGGCGAGAAGGGGGGAGATCCAGGCTCCAAAACAGAAATGGAGTGGAGGTGGATACTGTCATCCTAGTCAGAGACCCACCCAGGCTGAGAGAGGCCTTGAATAACTTTGGACTTTTCTTTTTAGATTTCATTCATTCATCAGATGTTAACTAATTGTTCAGATTGCTCATTACAACCTGTGTAATGTACTCTGTGTTAACTCCAGAAGAGCTGCAGAGGTAAATAAGACAGTCTCAGTCCTCCAGGAGTTGGTGGTCTAGTGAGCATTAAAGAGCCTGTGGACAGATTAGTGCCGTGCAGATTCACCTGGGAGAAGTGCCTAAGAGTGGTACTGGTTACCATGAGGTCATAGGAGAGAGAGCGCGCTCATTTCCTCCTTCCCTGCTGTCTCACGTGGTGACTTGGCCTTGCTCCTTGCCAAGGCTACCCCTCTACTTGTTCAAATGACCCCATTCCATCCTGTCTCCTCCGAGTGCCCCCTCTGCCATCCCCACTCTTTCACTTACATTCAGTGTCTCCCTGTCTCCGGGCTCATTTCCTGCTGCCTACAAACCTGCCCACATCTTCCCCATCCTGAAAAATCCGTCATTTGATGCTCCCATCCTTACTGCCATCCCAGATCTCTTCTGTCCTTTGTAGTTAAAGTCCTCGTTTGATAGATGCCCTTCCGTTCTCTTCTCCTGTTCTCTCCTTAACCCCTTATAGTCTAGTTTCTGACTGAAACATTGCACATGAGCAAGAACTGGAGGTGAGTTCCCAAAGTTACCAGGGATCTCTTAGTTTTCAAATCCAGAGGCCTTTTTCAGTCCTCATCCTCTTTGACTTCTCTGCAGCCTTTGACATGGCTGGTCACTCTCTTCCTCTTGACGTTCTTTTCTCTCTAGGGTTTTAGGATAGTATTCGTTCTTGTCCTACTTTCTCTGACCAGTCCCTATCATGCTCTCTAACCACAGGTGCCCCTCTAGGTTCTGTGCTGGGCCCTCTTCTCTTCTCTTCCTATACTACTTCACTTTTTGATCTCATCAGCTCCCTGGGATTTAATTACCATCTCTATTTAATTACTATACTCTAATGAGTCTCCAGTCTGTTTCCTTCCTGAGTCTCTGCTGACCTCCATCTGCCTTTCAGACATCTTGAACTGGATGTCCAGTAAACAGCTTAAATTCATTGTTTCTAAAATGGAATTCGTCTTTTCCTCTAAATCCTCCTTCCATTTCCTTAGACTTACAACACAAGAGTCATCCTGGGCTCCTCATATCTCTTACCCCCCATATCCAAGCTGATCTAAGACCTGTCGATTTCACCTTTGCAGCATCTCTCGAATATGCCCCGTCTGTCCTCTGACACTGCTACCATTGTGGTGCAGACCCTTATCACCTCCCATTTGGAGTGCTGTAATAGCAGCTGGTGGGTCCACCATCCTCAAGTCTGTCCCCACTACAGTCCATTCTCCAATCAGCCACTAGAGTAATTTCCCTACATCGAATTTGTGATTATGCTACCCCTCTACTTAATCAACTCCAATGGCTCCCTGTCACCTCCAGGATCAAATACAAAATGCTCGGTTTGATGTTCAAAGCCTTTCATTACCTGAGCCCTCCTACCTTTCCAGTCTTCTTACATCTTGGCCCCCCAACATGCATTCTTCTTCCATCCGGTGACGCTGGCCTCCTGGTTGTTTCTTGAACAAGACCCTCTATCTTTTGGCTCCTGGTATTTTTTCTGCCTGTCCCCCTCGCCTGGAACCCTCTTCCTCCTCTGCTCTGACTGCTGACCTCACTGACTTCCTTTAGGTCACAACTAAAATCCCCTCTTTTACTGGGAGCCTTCACTAACCCCTCTGGGTTATTTCTTATTGTTCCTGAATAGCTTGCTTTGTATAGATTTGTGTGCATGTTGTTGCCCTCGTTAGATTGTAAACTCCTTGAGGGCAGGCACTTGTCTTTTGCCTCTGTTTGAATCCTCAGCTCTTAGCACAGTGCCTGGCACATAGTTAGCTCTTAATAAGTATTGATTGATTGATTGACTGGAGCTATCAGTTGAGTTGGACCTTGATGGATGAGCATGTGGTCATCTCTCAGTACTTGGCATGGAACCCATCCTCCAGATTTTGATCCTAGGTTGGCTTCTGCCAGCCTCCTAGCAAAGCACCAGGCTTCCATCTCCCTGTTGTCCAATCCCTGTACACTTAAATGGTGCAAATCACTTTCATATCCACTAAAGCAAAACATAACCAGGGTTGAGTAGGAACCATAGAAAGTCATATTTTTCAGTTATCTATTGCTTTGGACCACATCATGGGTTCTGTCCAACCTTACAGATAATTGATAGCGGACCATTGATGGCTTGCATACTCAGGAATAACAACTGCCCCGGTTTTATTTTCTTTTGGAATAACACTCAAGCTTTGGCTCTGACCACAGAAGGCTGGAGACTCTACTTCTATCATTTTGGGTAGAGAGTTGTGCTTGGTATATGTTATGGTCCTGTACAAGATGAACAAGGGTACAAGATGTTTTTGGAAGTGCACTAGGAGCGAGTGTACCATGTGGAGCATCTGCTGCTGCTGTTCCTCAGACTAGAAGAGAATACATTCAAAGACGGTGTGATGGCACAGATAGGGTCTTAGTGTGCACAAAGGATCCATTCAGATTTGTTTCTCCGTCATTTCAAGTTTTAGAAAATTCGTGTGATGGATTGATGTAATTCCCACGAGAAGGGCCAGGGTAGCTGACAGACAGATGGGATTCCCCAGTTGGATCTGCCCTGAAAAAACAGCGTATAAATTCCCTAAGTGGATGTGGTTTTGTCGAAGATGAAGATACTGTTCCAGGCTTGAGTAACAAGATGAGAGAAGGCATGGCCTTTGTGCATGGACGTCTGGGCTCAGAACAGCACATGTCTTATGTCGTGCTTTGACAATCCCACACCCTACTGCACTCGGGCAAACCAGGCAGATTCCTTTAGGAACCAGGTGAAATTCCCAAGGTTGCAGACTCCTTCTCTTCCCCCTGCCCCATCTCCACCAACTCTAAAAGCGCTACACCTTGCAGCCTATCCCTTGCCTAGCTCCAGGACTCACAACTCTCCCTCTGTGCTCCTTTTTCCAGATGCAGTGGCAAAATGTTGAGCACGTTGGTGACCAGAGTCCATATGTCACCTCTGTGATTCTTCACATAAAGCAGAATGTCCCCATCATCCGAGACAACCTGGCCTCCACACGCAAGTACTTCACTCAGTTCTGCATCAAATTTGCAAAGTAAGTTTGGGATTTTTCTTTCTACTGTTTTCTTAAGAAAACCATTTTACCTTTTTTTTTCTTTTTTTTTTTTTTTGGCTAGGCAGTGGAGTTAAGTGACTTGCCCAGGGTCACAAAGCTAGTAAGTGTCTGAGGCCGGATTTGAATTCAGGTCCTCCTGATGCCAAGGCCAGAGCTCTATCCACTGAGCCACCTAACTGCCCCCCATTTTACCTTTTCTTAAGAAAAAAAGTGGAGTGCTTTCCATTGTCTGATTGTGACCCAGTGCCCTGTGGACCTTCCCTGGCCCTTTTGTTAAGCCAGATCTGTCCTCTAGCACAGCACTTTTCCAACCCCATTTGGCAATAGGAAAAAGGTTTCTGAACTTGCAACAACCAAAAATTAATTAAAAATCAGACACATGATGAACCTGAGGTGTTTCTGGCAGCACTTGCCCGCGTCGCATCTCGAGATTTCACTGCAGCCTTGGTACCGAACACAAAACATGCGCACTTTGCACTCTTGACTGGTTCTTCCCAGTGCCCCCCCAGGCACACTCCAGGAAGGCAGACTTACTTCAGTGTTAGTCTAAGAAGAGCATTATTAGAGTCAATATGGCCTTTAAAGAACAGAGAATATCACAAAGCCAAGTGGAAGTGATTTGGGAATCAGCAGCAGCAAGATGGCAGAGGATAGAGCGCTAGCCCTGGAGTCAGGGAAACCTGAGTTCAAACTTGAAAACATATAGTAGCTCTATATCCCTTGGCAAGTCATTTAGCCTCTCTGTGCCTCAGTTTCCTCAGTTGAAAAATGAGGATCCTGATATCACCTGCCTCCCAGGTTTGTTTTGAGGATCAGATGAGATGTTTGTAAAATGCTTTGCAAACCTTCAAGCGCTATATAGATGCTGCTGTCGTTCTGATCTGAGGTTTTGTCTGAACCACACCAGTCTTTTGGTGTACGTAGTCAAGAACTTTCTTTAGTCATTTTTTGTGGTATTTTGTCTCCTCAACTATATTAGAAACTCTTCAAAAACAGAGGCCGTAGATTCTCTATCAGGGGCTCTTAACGCAGAGGCCATGGACCAGTCTGAGTAGATTTCAAGGAGTCTGTGAACTTGGATCTGAAAAAAGTGACACCTTTATTTCTGCCAACCCTGGTGTTTGGTTTCCTTTGTTGTCCTGTGTATTGTACGTATACATTTGCAGACACTGTTCTGAGAAGGGGTCCTTGAGCGTCTCTAGGCTGCTGCCCAAAGCATCCAAGATGCACACAAGGTCAAGAACCTCTAGTCTCTATTCTGGCTTTGTGCCTGCTTCCTCCTTGGTGCCTCCTGTATATTTGGAACTCTTCTGAATGCATCCTTGTTTCCCAGGAGGTGTGGTGTAGCAGAAGAGCCCCCAGTCGTAGGATATTGGCTCAATCACTCATCCACCCAGCGTTTATCACAAGCACCCACTGTGTGCTAGATACCGTGCTAAGAGCTGGGACTACAAAGAAAGGCAAAAGCAGTCATCCTACCTCTGATGCTTCTTGCTCATTTGATGCTAGGCAAGTCCCTTCACCTCCCTGTGCCTCAGTTTCCTCACCTGCAAAATGAGGGAGTTGGACCAGATGGTCAGATGAAGGCCTCAGTTCCCTCACTTGTAAAATGAGGTGGTCTCTGAGGGCCTTTCCAGCTCAGGATCTGTGACCCTAGAATCCTAAGACATTTATTGTGCCTGATCGGGATGCCCAGCTACGGCACGTGGTACAAAGCCAAATACTAATAGGCAGTGACACATGTGCCGTGTAAGTGGGTGAAGACAGCTGCAGTGGGGAAAGCCCAGGGCGAGTGCCCATGGACAGGTCCCTGTGGTCTCCAGGAACTTGAGCGCAGCTTTCTCCAAGCATGAGTTTGAACATAGGAATGTTGGCCCCTTGAAGTAATAGGCGCTGTGCTGCCTGACTCCAGCCCGGTCTTCCAGACTTCCGGCTTCCCCTGAGAATGTGCCAGTTCCAGTACATAAAACAGGCCTTCTTAACCTGGGCTTCCCCCACTGGGGCTGTGGATACATTTCGGAGGGGGGAGTGAACTTGGATGGGAAAAATGACTGCATTTATTTTCACTAACCTGCAACTGAAATTTAGCATTTCCTTCAGTGATGAGTGAAGATAAACAAACATCCTTGTGAGAAGGGGTCTGGTCCACATGCGTCCCTAGACTGCCAGAGGATTCTGTGGCACAGAAAAAATGCCGAGCTCCTGTCCAAGAGTCAGGTAGCTCTGAATAGCTGAGTAGCATGCAGGCCTTTGAAGAGGGGACAGGCTCCCGCAGGGTCCTCCAGTGCTGACCGACACTGCCGTGGGCTCCCCAGGGACGAGGCACGCACCTGCACCTCGCCTGCAGATTTCTCTCCCAGTTTGTACTCAGTTAAGTCTTTGAGGTTGTTTTTTCCCCTGCTTTTCTCAACAACAAATCTTTAAGGAATAACAGGGTTGGGCTGGGTTTTACAGTCAACTTCAGTTCTGGTCTGTCAGGAAAAGGATATGGTGGGATCTCCAGCAGGGTGTTAATGTTTGCACTGTGGCAAATGAACTGAGAGCCAACATTCCCTCTTCTCTCTCTGGGTGCTCATTAGTTTGCATTAAGAGCACCGCCTGATAAATCATATCCTGACGCTCCCCATAATCACTGTTAGAAATTCTGTCTCAGTGAAAATTTATTATGCTTAAAACCTCCTACGGGGACTGTACAGGGGCTTGCTTGCCTTAGTGCACATAAAGGGAACTCAGAAATCCATTTTCTCAGCCAGTCCCAGCACGAGCCTTAATGTCCTAGGGGTGCCACATCCCTTTAAATGTCCCATGAAGCCCCCACTGAGGTGGGGCGTAAAAGCTCCTCCTCTCAGGAAGATCCAGTCTAAAGGGAGAGCTCAGAAAGGCGTGACCTCGCGCCCCTTGCAAAGCCGAGACAGCGTCTGTCGTGAGATGGGACCTGCCTTCCTTCCGATGCCGCCATCACTCCGCCCTCCAGTCTGTAATCAGAGATGTCTCTCCTTGATCCTCGGCTTTCTTCCCTGTGTCCTTCTCTAGCAACAACCAGACCGTAGGGCCGAAGCTCTGGATCTTGAAGGGGCCGTCGGTTCTCCCCTATTTCGAGGAGGGAAACTGAGACTTATTGAGGTTAATTGACCTACCCAGGATCCTACTGGGAGCAAGCATCAATTAGAATTTTAACTCCAGTGGTCACTGTTCCCACTCCCTGTGCCGAGCACCGCCTTCCTTCCCCTCCTCCTTTAGCACCGTGCGCCGGACACAGTTAACCGCTGCTGCAACCTGGAAGAGTTGGGAGGGGTGCCTTCGGCTATTGGAAGTAAGTCTCCTGTGCTCAGCGTGACCAGACCAGAGGCGAAGGCCCTTCTGGGTTCTCCCTTTAGACTCCGAGTTGCTTTCATAGCGCTTCCTTTGGCATTTCTGCATCTGAGACTTATAATGGCTTCATCTGCAGACAGAGCTCAGTCCTCTGTGCTGGGGACTTCTGGAGTCTTCCCCAATTTGTGAGACTGCTCTCCCCCGGAGGTTCCTCTGGTCCAGACTTTGCATTTTTGACTTGCTTCTCTCATGTCCAGTCGCCTGATAGAATGTAAGCTCTCTGGGGACAGAGCCTTTCCTTTTATCTTTATATCCCAAGCACTAGCATAGTGCCTCATGTAGGAGAGGTACTTAATAAATGTTTAGTTGAATTCAATTTTAAAATATAAACTTAATAACCATCAAAAACACATAACCCAAAAAACCCCAACTGCATGTAATTGAATGTAAGCAAAGAACCTGTGATTTTGGTAGTGAAGGTGTTCCGAACCAGTGTAAATTAAGTGTTCAAGGTGATGTCACATGGCCAGGGTCACACAGCAAATGTCAGAGGTGGTTTTGACCACCTGACTTGAGGCTCAGCACCAGGCTACCCCTCTCGTTATCAAATAAACATATAAAATCTTACATAAAACTCGTAGCGCTTCACAAAGGAAGACTGAGCATATTAGGAGACAGTAAACAAACCACATTTGTTCTGTGTCTCTCTCCAAATCCGCCTGAAGTTCCCCAGTCTTCGGTTTTGTTTTCTGTTTTTGTGTAGTTGCAGGCGTGTGTGCGATTCGTATCCAGTCAATGTATTTGCTCCCCTTCCTGTGGGTCTGAGGAACGAGGATGAGGGTGGGCTTTAAAGATGAGCGGACAGCGCTCTAACCCAGGAGACGCTTTCTGACGTGTTGACCTCTTTTCACAGCTCCTTCATGCCCAAGTTCATCAACCATCTCTTCAAGTGCAAGCCAATTAGCATGGTGGGAGCGGAACAGGTGAGGCAAACGCTGGCTTGCGACATGCTCCCAAACCACCAGGTGGCCTCACTTGGGTGCCCATGATGAGTCCACGCCGGTGACGGCGAGGGTAACGAGGATTCTTGTTTGGAATGCTCTTCTAGCACGTGCTGACTGGCCACCTCCAATTAAAAGGAGAGGAAGAAATTCAAGGGTCCTTTATTAAAAGGCCTGCAAAGCTAGCGTGGTGGGCAGAGGTGGCTGCAGGTAGTTTCCTAAAGGACATCCCTTGTAAAAATATGATTGCATAAAATAACCTTAGAAACTGTAGGCATATTCCACCTGACATTGTTTCTTCAGGAACATAGTGTGAGGTGGGAAAATGTGACAGGTTTGTTCCTGGTTTATCATCCAGGTAACCGCAGCAGAGATGGGCTGTGTTATGGTGGAGGCCGCTTATAAGGGGCTAACGGATGAGCTATCCCTCTTGTGGATTGGAGGCTCTTTGAGGGCAGGGCTGTTGTGTTTTTGCCTCTGTGCCCTCTCCCCCAGCACACAATTCCTTACCTGTAGTGGACTCTTTATGCACATTTGTCCAGTTGAAGCCTCATTGGGCTGTGGTGGCAGAGGTAAACTTCTTTTTTATGGGGAATGGAGATGCTCAGAAACTCTGTTCTCTTCCTCCAAGAAGCATGTCACATAAAGCCCATCCTCCCACAGCTTGTCCTTTGTGTCTTCTCAGTCCTGACAGACTTGGTGTTCTCCTCATCTGCCTTATTGGCTCCACCTCTTTAGGGTATGATGTGAATTTGAACAGGGCCTAGGTCCCCCTTTGTAATGTAGTTCCAGGCAGAAGCAGGAATGGCCAAGTTGGAAGGAAGGGCCTTTACCGGGCCCCAGCCTTCCTCCTGTTAGATTGTTCTGAACTAGTAAGTGTAGCTAGTGGCTCTGTGAGTTCTCTTTGTGAATTATTTCATATGTGTGTTTTCTTTTCATAGCTGGGGTCTAAGATTTCTGAGAAGGCCTGTGTCTTACCAATGGCTGTCAATGCCCCACAACATCTCCACTGTGCCCTGCCCCGGAGGTTAGCAAACTAGTCATTGAAGTTGAAACACGATCCCAGCAAGTGTCCCGGGAGGTTAAGTTGAATCAGCCATTGACGGAGTCTCACAGACTCTAAGATTTCCACCAGTGTTCCGAAACCCCTGACTCTTGCATATTCAACACAGAGAACTAATTCTTTCCATTGGAAATAGCAGAATAATGCCCCAACATGTTGTCTCCAGTTTCATTAGCATATGAATCTGGGGATTCTAGGCTGTTGAGTCTGTTCACTCACTGTTGAATGCAATCAGAAATGACACTGGGTGATTCCTGGATTCCTGTCCCCTTGAGCAGATCACACTCTGGTATGGTATTTCTGACCCCAGACTTGCTGAGGCCACTGGAAGCATAAAGTAGATTCACACCAAAAAAATGTTTTTCATGTGTCTGCAGCTTTGCCAAGTCATTGTAGCTGACTTAAAGGATTTCATGTCTGATAACCACAATCTTTTTGTTTTATTACATCAATCTAATACCTCATCTGTTTTTCTCAGGTTTGCCCTCCCTCCTCCTCCTTCTTTTCTCTTTACCTTCTCTTTCTCCCTTTTTCCCTCTCCTTCCTTTCAACCCCTTTCTCTCCTTCCCTTCTCTCCCTTTATCCTTTCTCTCCTGTCTCTCTCCCTCTCTGTCTTTCTCCTCTCTCCCTTCTCCCTGTTTCTACCCCAAAAAGAGCATTTGAATAATTCAGCACCAGGGTAAAGCCATCCTGGTGGGTGTGAGGTGTGTGGGTGAGGGATGTCAATTTGATTAAGTAGCATGAACAGTCAGTTGTACTTTCACTCATAAATGAGAAAACTCTTCTTGAATCCTATTTAATTTTTTCTCAGATTGCAGACATAGCTGTAGTGGTGCTAGGGAGACCAAGTATTAGCAGGAGAATCAAGAGAAATGGGTGAGAAGCAGGGCGGTGGCCCCTTTTGCCATTCTCAGGCCTCGTTGCATCCGGCCCATATTTACCTTTCTAGACAATCCCCAGCCTTGGAAACCCGAGGGTGGGTCGCGTGGCTTGAGCAGCCTGTGCTTCGTGTCTTCTGTGGAGCTGAGACAGGAGGTTCACAAAGGGAGACTCAGAGGCCAGAACAGATCCACCCTGTTATGGGGAGGTTGTGACCCAGGCCGTAACGAAGGCCGTGAAATTCAAAACTGCGGCTCAGCCTAATCTCAGCCGGCTCTGCTTTGCCAAGAAATTGATGGAGCCTGAACTCAGGATTCGCTGTAAAGCTTGAGCCTCCATAGAAAGGAAGAGCAGGCTTCTTTTATGTTACCTGGTCTGTCTTCTCTTCTGGGTTAGCGTTGAAACGTTTGAGTTACTCACCTTTCAGTGCCTTCGCTGTCCTTGTGCACACCTTACCAAGGTGCATGGAGCTTAATAGATGGATTCACAGGCGTCTCACACCCTCGTTCAGAATTCCGCAAATTCGGCAAACACTAATGAAGTACCTCCTGTGTGCCAAGTACCGTGTTCGTCACTGGGGATAAAACCAGTCGTCATAGATGAGAACTGACGTGGGCGAGGTGCATACAAAGTAGCCTAAGAGGGGGAGAACTAGGAAAGTCCTTTAAAAGTTTGAACTGAATCTTGAAAGAAGCTGAGGATTGTAAGAGATAGAGGAGGGAAGGAAGTGCCCACACTACAGGCATGGGGAACAGCCAGTGCAAAGGTGCGGTGATGGGAAATGGAATGTCATCTGTGAGGAACAGCAAGTGCCCCAGTACGACTGGGCTGTAACTCGGAAGAAGTCAGGTTCTGAAGAGCTTCACGTGCCTGGGAAAGGAGTTCATATTCAATCCTAGAGGCAGTGGGGAGCCGTTGACTTTATTGAGGAGGAGGCATAACAAGATCAGAAGTGCACTTTTTAAAAACCACTTTGGCAGCTTTGTGGAGGGTGGAGTGGATGGGGAGAGACTCGAGGCCGGGAGACCAACGACGAAAGGATGCTGGTAATCCGGATGAGTGGCCGTGCAAAGACATAAACGGGGGTGTGCGTTATAGGGTCAGAAATGATGATACGCGGCATCTGATTGGATGTGGGGGGAGTGAGGGGACAGAGGTTGTCACCTCCATGATAGGAGAAGAGAAAAAAGGGAAGAAGGAGTGGAAGATGGGTCATCGTGTATCAGGCGGAGAAGAGCGTGCAACCAGTACGGGAGGGATGGGCGGGGAGTCTGCCGAGGGTCAAGGGGAGGATGAAAAGTAGGTTGAGAGGTGGTAGGGGACGAATGGCATGAGAAAAGACTGGGAACAGATCGTGGAATTTCAGCCATTGAATATGGAAGCGTGCAGGTGGGAGGGGTGGGCTGTGACCGCCCCTGTGTGTGTGCTGAAGTGGAGGAGTGGGTCATGGGAGGGCGGTAGAGGGCACGTTGGTAGGAGAGCGAGACTGAGCCGGGCACTGAACTCACAGAGAAAGGAGAGGAAGGACATGTCCTGGTCCCTATCAGATGACCAACAGGATCTGGGCTGGGTGAAAACACAGATACAGCGAACCTCGAAGGGGGAGACATTGCTGAGTGATGTCAGGAAAGAGTCTGGGAGTGACAGCGCATGGCAGAGAGTCTTTCTGACACCCTCCCTGCAATTAGTGAGTCAGGAGCATAAGGGAGGATGCAGCCAGGAATGAAGAGATGGCCAGAGATGCAGCGTCACCCCTGGGAGCCAAGGCTTAATGAGTGCTGGAGGTGGAGGCGAGGCGAGAGCCACGGGGAAGGGAAAGAGATCGGGAGTGGCTATTAGTGGTGTGGAGTTGAGGTGGACAGAGACGGGGTGACCCTAGGCGGCTGGAGAAGGTAAGGGGGGCTGAAGGATGCCACCCTTGGGAATGAGTCTGGGCAGAGGATCAGTAGGTGGGAGGAGCAGAACCTTCGAAGGTCCACAGTCTCTGTGGCTCTTCGGGCTGGCGGTCGGTGTTGCTCAATCTTGAGGTGTCTGGAAGCAGGGCCAGGAGGCAGGTGGTGTTAACTGTGTGTGTAGCAGGACTCTGGAAGCCCAGCTCCCAGTGCTTGCCTTGAAGAAAGCGTGGTGGGAGGGTGGTTTTGGGGGGGAGGGCACCAGCAGCTGGGGGTCGAGGGGAGTCAGGAAAAGCTTCAGAGAGATAGACTCGGGCCCTTGAGAGGTTCCAAGAGACCAGAGGTGAGGAGAAGGTGCCACGGGGACGTGGGGAGGCCCGGGCTGTGGGGGCCCCCCGTGCTTGGCACAACTACTCCCCAGATCTGAGGTCTTCGTGACTCAACTCTGTGTCTGTCTATGCTGGCACCAGAAGGAGCCTGCAGAATGTCATGCTTTCCTCCAGCTGCCCTCTCTGCCATTGAGACCCAGGAAGAAGCAGAAAAGGGAAAAGGGACCGGTAGAACACAGGGGGAGGGACCGGGTCCCAGGTGAGGAAATGCCCTTCTCTAGTCTGGGCCAGCCTTCTTTGCACCTTCTAGTCTTGGAGGACCAAGTGGGAAGGTCACGCAGACAGTGTAGGGCAGTGGCAGGATGCGGGTCCCAGCTCTGAGCCAGCTCAATGCTCCCTGAGGGCTGCCGGTGAGGCGGGCCTGGCAGATCTCTCAGGCTCAGGAGTTCTGAGCTGCTGTGGGCTATGCCAGCAAGTGTCCAGCATCGTGGTGAGCCCCTGGGAGCCGCAGAGAGGGCCAGGAGGACGAGGTTGGAACCAGTAGGTCCAAGTTCCCATGCCAGTCTCTGGTGGACCTGGGCCATAAACAGCCCCTACACTTGCAGCCCAGGTGAGGTGAGGACACTGTCTTTAAAAAAAAAAACCTAACAGCAGAATGATGCTGATTCTCCTATTACACGAAGTTTTCCGTTTGACTGACGTAGACACCAGGCGTGCTTAGAGTTCAGCTGTGCGGCCCTGTAGCCACCAGCAGTGGCCAGGGCTGGCCTGGGAGCTGGGCACTGATCTGGCTGGCTCCTCTCTTGTTCTTGCAGCTGCTGCTGGATACCCATTCTCTGAAGATGGTCCTCCTGGATCTGCCTTCCATTGGCTCCCAGGTGGTGAGGAAAGCGCCTGCCAGTTACACCAAAATTGTCGTGAAGGGCATGACCCGGGCCGAGATGATCCTCAAGGTAACGGCTTGTTCCTTCCCGCCCTCATTTTCTGGTGTAATGAGGCAGCCTTTGCTGAGAGGTCTGTGGTGCGGCCAACACTAATAGCATGTCTTGATGAGGTCGTCGGTGGGAAAATCAGTGACCCACTTAGTTTACAGCAGGCATTCCAGGCCCAGCGAACTGTTACCTGCTCCTTCACAGTGCTGCTCTGCCATCTACACCTGGGGCCGGTGAAACGATCCTAGAACAAATGTTGTAGTAACTGAAGCTGGCCATGAACGGCTTGTGTGTCGAGCTTTTAAAATTCCTTTGAAGCAAACTCTGGCTTCTTAGGAGAATGGCATTGACAGCACAGAAAAAGGGCATGACACTGTAGCCTTCCCTGTCTGCCTCCCATCTACCACTGGTTGGGACGACCAGGTTGTGATTAGAGGAGAGGAGAGAGTTGAAGAAAAAATGGTCGGTGGTTGTGATGGTTACACCCCCCCCCCCCCCCCAACATTCCTGCAGCCACGGTGTCCGTCAGCAGGGGCCAGCTGCCCTTTGTCAGCTGCGGGCTTCTGGGACACCCTTTCTTCCCCTTCATTCCTTCCTGCTTCCCCCAAGGTGGTTTCTTCTGAGGAGAACTGTGTTGGAGAACTATGCTGCTCCTCTGGTCCCAGCTGGAGTCAGAGGACCTGGGCCTGGATCCTAACTCTGTTTCTTATCTTTTCTTTTCTTTCCTTTCTTTTTTTTTTTTTTTTTTGGCTAGGCAGTGAGGTTTAGTGACTTGCCCAGGGTCAGACAGCTATTAAATGTCAAGTGTCTGAGGTCAGATTTGAACTCAGGTCCTCCTGACTCCAGGGTCGGTGCTCTAGCCACTGCGCCACCTAGCTGCCCCTCTGTTTCTTTTCTTGATGACGTTGGACAAATCAGCTCTGGGCCTCAGTTTACTCTCCTGTAGAATGAGGAGATTGGAACAAATGATCTCTCAGGTACCTTCTCTGGCACTCAATCTTGCCATCCTCCAGGAGTGATCGGGTAAGTAGGTGACGAGCAAGCAGAGACCCAAGTCCAGCTGGGGCGGGCAGCAGGTGACTTTCTTTGTTCAGCCTTTTCTCTTTTTGGTGTGTGGGTTAACCCCAGAAAGTTTGTAATCTCAGACTGGGCCCCTAGGCCAGGGGTGTCAAACTCACAGATTAAAATGTAATTGGGAAATGTTTAACAAAATAATTTAAAATACAATACAAAATAGATAATGTTAATTTGTAATTTTCTAAATCAATATACCACCCAGAGGCATCTGTTTCAATTTGAGTTGGACACCACTGCTCTAGGCACCACCTTAGCTGCCATAGGGCCAAGGAACATAATTAGGGAGGCAAAGCTACTGATGGGGAAAGTTCACGTTCAGTGTTCTGGAACAAAATGGAAAAAATTGGGCGTTACTGTTAAACTGTAAACGCGGGAGGGCAGACACTGCTCTGACTCTTTCTAGCCAGCTCAGCGCTTCTTTGCCAAAGATTATATGTTGGAGGATGTAAAGACCGTGCCAGGAGTCAGGGGACTCTGCTGACAGTTAGGTTTTCTGTCTGTGCCCGTTTCGTATAGCTCTTATTTGCTTAATTTTAACTCTTTGGGGTTGATGGCTGTGCAGATTTACAGGAATTGATGAAGTAAGCATTTGTTAAGTGCCTGATGTGTGCCAAGTACCGTGCTAAATCTTGAGAAGAAAACATTGAAACCGGCCCTTCCTTCAGGAGCTTCCATTCTAATGCACAGAGAAGGGGCCAAGGAAGGACATTTTGGGTTGGAAAGTCGTGGTGAAGATGAGTTGAGCCACAGGGTCATAGAGTGACTCCCTGCAGCATTGGTTTGGTTATGGTCAGAACTAGAAATGGGGGGGGCATGAGTGTGGTGGCTTGGTGGATAGCGAGAAGATGGTGGGATAGCACGTGAAGCTTGGCTGGTGTTGGCTTCAAAGAGAGGCACGGACACACAGGCGCACCCGGAGGGGGTGGCATCAATTATTTGCTGTTTCTCTTTTGTTTGTTTAACTAAAGGAACAGTTTCATGGAGGTAATATATAATAATTAAATTGAAATTTGTGTTCTTAGTTTTAAAAAACAAGAAAACATGAAAGCCAGGACTCTCCTTCCATTTGCACAAGAGTAAAAGAAAATAATGTAACTTTGGTCTGACCATTTTGTGGGCCCCTTTTCCTTTCAGGATCAGTGAGGTGCCAAGAGCAAAAGTGGAGGCGGTAAAATAAATGCCCGTTTGTGGCCTTTAGGACTTGTGTCCCAGGCACAGAAAGTGTCAGACGGTGGTGGTGACTCCTGGTGGTTGGTGGGCCGCCAGGTCTTGGGGAGACACGTGGCCTTCCTCAGACTCCCAGACTGTTTGCTTCTTCTGTCTCCCCGCCCAGGTGGTGATGGCCCCTCACGAACCCTTGGTGGTGTTTGTGGACAACCTCATCAAACTCCTGACAGACTGCAACACAGAAACCTTCCAGAAGATACTGGACATGAAGGTCAGAGCCAGGCCTTCCCAGCCCCTCCAAGGCGTGTCCCTCTTTGCCTTCTTTTTTCCTATTCTTCCCTTTCTCTTCCTCCCTCTTCTTTTGTTCCTTCTCCCTTGCCTGTGCCACAGCTTTGTTGCATGAGCTAGAGGAAAGAATGCTAGAAAGGGTCATGGCCCCGGGGCCCAAATCCCAGCTCTGTTACTAGCCTTTGACCTCTCGCATTAACCTTTCACCCCTCTCATCTCACCTCAGGTTCCTCCTTTGTAAAATGAGGGGATGGGACAGGATAGGATTCTTTGATGCCCTGTAGTAGCTCAGCCCTTTGGAGTGTGTTTAGATCTGAAGGAGGGCCTGAGACTGGCCTAGAGCATCCAGGCCATTTCTTTTTTTTTTTTTTTTTTTTTTGCTAGGCAGTGGGGTTAAGTGACTTGCCCAGAGTCACACAGCTAGGAAGTATTATGTGTCTGAGGCCGGATTTGAGCTCAGGTCCTGTTGAATCCAGGGCTCTGGGTTCAGCAGTGCTCTCCACCGAGCCACCTAACTGCCCCACCAGGCCATTTCTTGAACCCACATCCTAGTGCAGGTGGCATGTGCTCCTCTCTCAGCAGTGTGAGGACCTTGACGTCATGGGCTCTTTTCTCTCCCCAGGGTCTTAAGAGAAGCGAGCAGAGCAGCATGCTGGAACTCTTCCGCCAGCGGCTTCCCACCCCACCGTCAGCATCAGAGGGTCCTGGCTCCACGTCCCTGACAGCGCCGACACCTGAACAAGAATCATCCCGTATCCGAAAACTGGAGAAACTCATCAAAAAGAGACTCTAAGCAAGCAGGAGAGGGGCCCGGGTCCCCTTTGCCAGAGAGTGGTGCATCTAACACTCACTAGGCAGCTGTTTCGGAAGACCCTTAGGGCTCGCCTCTCCTCTCTCCAGCTCTCAGATCAGCATCAGCCCCTCATGTTTTCCTGGGAAATTTGGGTTTGTCAATGTACATTTGCCGTATTGTGTGGTGACTCCTTCCCTATGCTACGAAGCCGGTTTGATGAGAGAAAAAGAAGAGCGTGGTTTGGGTTCTGTCTTCCACTGCTCAGGACCCTGTTAGCGGGCACTGTTTCAAAACCATCTCTAATTCCTAAAGACAGAGTCTTCAGACAGAGAAAGTGGAAGTTTGCTTTTTATTTTCATCCACCGGCTTCTCACTGTTGTGTCATTTTTAGGGACTCATTGCATGTCACCTCTAGGCATCCCCCCAACTAACACCAGACCTTCCTTACCTTGAAACTGCCCATTGATAACTCTGCAGTAAAATGCCTTTTCCTCCTCTCCTTCTAGAGTCCTCTATCTGATTAGCCCCCTGGCAGTGCTTTGGAGCTGCGGTGGAGGGATCTCTTGAGTCCTGAGCATGTGGAATGACAGTTGCTCCTGGGGATATGCCCACCCGCTCACCAAGCCAGCTTTCCTAGCATCTTACGGTTTGCCTGGGCCTGGGTTCGCCATTTGGCCAAGTTACGTCTCTGCTCTTTCCAACTTTTTCAGCTTAGGGTCTGGTTTCTACAGCCTTCTAAGGAAGCTGTCCCTCTGCTTGTGGGCCAGGCCCTTAGAGGCTGAGTGTCTGAGGATATATTGGGGTCATTGTGAGAGCAGACAGACATCTGCTCTGAGGAAAGGATTCTGCTTGACATTCTTACTTAGTAGGGTTGCAGAACTGTGTTTCCCATTCCCATTTCTGTGCTCATCTCCTCTCCCTTTCTCCCCCCTCCCTCAGCCCCAGTAGCTCTTGGCTTCTTAGGAGGGGGCTTGGGCTGAGTGGGAGGCAAAACCAGGAATCTCACTTGGTGGATTGAAGCCTACTAGGTGGGACTGTGGGAAAACCACTGTCTCCATCGCTTTTCCACCCATTCCCCACACCCTATTAATTCAGAGACAGTCCTTATAGCTGTCCATCCCTAAGATGAATTTGAAGTAGCAGATGTTATATACATACATAACTGGAATGCCATCTTATTTAATTACTAATGAAAACAGCACCAAGGGCTCACGAAGTGAGATACTAGTCTGAAAGAACTGGCTTTTAGGCCTCCTAGCCTGCCCATTGTACCAGCCCCTCCTTGCCCCTAGCCATCTCCATGGACTCTCTCTCACTAATCTGACTTGCTCTTAGAGATAATAACACAATAGCCCTTTGGTTTCCTAGAGAAAAATGATTCCTCCTCAATATTAGGAAATCATTTCCCGTGGCCACAGAAAGTGTGAAATGTCTGTTACTACCGAACTTTATTGGAAGCCAATTTGGGGTCACCTCTGAGAAGGATGGCAGGATAAGGGTGACCTATATTGGTCTATGTCCTTTATTCAGGTGTATATATTTCAGAGGGAATGTGAGAAGGAAGGAAGAGATGCAGCCTTTTGTTTGCAACACATCCGATATCAGCTGGAGGCCAACCTGACCTATAAAGGGGGGAAAGGGTGAGGAAGAGTTCTGAGAAATTCAGAGAATACCCGAGTTTGAAAATCAAAAAATAGGCTTTTCTTCTTCGTCTTCTTCTTCTTCTTCTTCCCTCTCCACTAATTGTTCTATCCTGTTAGCCTGTTTCCCTGATGTGTTTCATTGGTCCCAATTCTGGCCTTCTGAATTCATTTCATTGGTTTTTATCCTTTCTTGCTAATTAAGGGGGCTTTTTGCTCCTGGCCTTCTTAGACTGCAGGACATTGATGGGGAAACATGAAAATTTGGGATTGGGAGAATATTTATAATTTGATTTTGACATAAAGGCTAGGTAAACAGATGACTGCTGTGGGACTGACCTAGCAATGGACGAATTTCAGCGGTGTTAGGCTAGTAACAGGGTTGGCTTTGGAGAGGTAATTCAGCTGACATCAACTGAATTTACTTCTTCCTTTCTTGGGAGTTGATAGCATCTCCCTTCCACCCTTTCCCACCATATTTGGGATGGTTGGTTTGAATTCGGTCCATCTCTGATTCTTTTCTGTGTCCAGGTGGTTTCTTCAGCTAGCTGACTCAGCAGGTTGTGAAAGTCCCAGTTCTCAGTATTTAGTGAGGCCGTTTCATTCCCAGTGGTCCGTTTCTGGGATGATCTGCCAAGATGCATTTACCCCTCAGTGCCCTGGGTCTCCAGCACCTCCTCTCTGACAGGCCAACAAGAGTCAGTAGGTCTCAGATGAAGTGCTGCATTCCCCGAGCTGAACACTACAGATGGGCTTTGTGTCGTGGTGGTGTGGAGAGCCCTCTTTAAACAGATATCTCACTGGCTCTTTAACCAAAATGTATCTCTTGTATGTTCGAGGTAGTTCAGACATCACAAACAATATTCTTTGCTGATTGCTCGCTGCTTAAATTTACAGTTGATGTCGATGTTATGGCCCATGCCTGGAGCCTGACTTTTTTCACAGTCTAGGCTCTTTTGATGTTCAAGCCCAGAACAGTAGATCAGCAGCATTGCCCTTACTTCTGAGCAGCCTGCTGACGAGGGCATCCCTTGGCAGCTTTGTTGTTTGGTTAACTCTAAACAGGTGCCTACTCTTCTCCATTTCCCAGATCCTTTAGGGAAGAAAGGAAATCCTGAACACTTGAAAGTGGTTCAAGCCAAATATCTGCCTATAATGTTGGTCATTTACAATCTCCCAAAAGGGATGCCTTCCATTCGGGCTGGATCAGTGCTTTGTTCTTTCATTTGGATTATTTAGAGTGAAAAATCAATAAACCTCAACCGAGCAGGAAGAGCCTAGGCTGGAGAAGTCAGATTGGGGACGTTATCTATAGCTCGGACGTCGGAACTGATGAGTGGTGGGATCCTGCGTTAAAAAACAGTCATGGAGAGTTCTGACCTCCACTTCGAACTTCAGAATGAGTTAGTCGGGGTCTTGTTTTTCGCCACCCAAAAACAGCCAGCCAGGCTTACTGGCCTGCACATCAGCACTCAGCAGCTGCTTCGCCCTACCTCCCACGCCACTTTGTCACATGCAGTCAGTTCATTTGAGCAAGCTCACTAGCAGATATTCTCCCAAAGACAAGTGTAACAAAGCTCGTCAGCTCGCCCTGGAACGATCCAGCAGACTATTGGCCAATCAGCCGAGGGAGCCAGCAAACTCTGCCAGATGTTGGTACTTATATCATGGTTTGTATTGAAATGCTATAGATACACTAGCCACGGTGCCTGATAGAACCAGGCTGCTTGGAGGGTGAAGGCAGATGGTTTGTGTGTCTTGTTCTGGTCGGGATCTTTATTCAAAATGAGCATGGTGGTGGTAAGAGAGTAGAGCCAAATACTGAATTCACGGGCGTATTAGAAAGCCAGTCGACATAAAGGACATGTTTGTCTTCTTTTATGTAAAATAGTTTCCTATTTCCTTGTATTTATCAAACTGGGTGCTTCTGGAGCCCTCAAATTGGACACCTAAGTAAGATGTAAATTTCCTTCCAATAAAAGGATGGTGTTTTTTTGTCGTAAATGTCTTCATGTTCCCCATCTGGAAGTGATTTCTTGGTGTATATTGGAGCGTGACACTGTAGCTAATTAAACCATTATTGTATGTCATTTGCTCGAATGAGTTTCATTACTGTTGACAGAAAGCAGAGTGGACAGCAGGAAAGAGAATCATCAGGAAACCATATGGGCGCCGTGTTCATCTCTCTCGCCGTCTGGGTTCTCCCCCCGAAGCTGGTGCATCCCTTCTCTGAGCTCTTCCAACACGCTGAGGATAGTGCACAGGAATAGGACGTGGTGGTAATGAGCACATTTTAAAAATATTTGTCCAGCAAAAAGTCAAATCAGCAAGCATTTAGTAAGCACCTACTATGTGTGCCGGTCTTGACTTTTGTCCCACTAATGGACTTCAGTGACTGGAGGAAGTGAGGCTGGTGACTTTTCATAGCTCGGCCTCATTTAACCCATTCACACGCACAAGACCTCACCCATGAAGTCATCGGCCCTTTTCAAAAACAAAGAATGAACAACAACAGCTATGTGCCAGGCACTGTGCTAAGTGCTGGGGATACAAAGAGAGACAAAAAAGAATCCTGCTCTCCCAGTCTGGTGCAGACAGAGATCCACAAAGAAGCTAAAGACAGGTTGTCTCAGAGGGGAGGCACTGAGATTAAGGAGCACTTGAAAAGGCTTCCTGCAGAAGGTGGGGAGTTAACTGGGGCTTGGAGGAAGCCAGTGCAGCATCGCTGAATCCAGAGCTGTGGAAGGGGCTGTAACCTGGCCCCTCCCTATGAAGGGCTTTAGAAGGCAAACAGGATTCTGTGTTTGATCGTAGAGATGATAGGAAGCCCCTGAAGTTTATTCAGCGAGGGGAAGAAGGGTATATATGACTTGTACTTTGGGAAGATCAGTGTGTCAGCTGAATGTACACACTGGAAGGAGAGAACCTAGGCATAGTGCAGGCATGAGGTGATGAGGGCCTGCACAAGAGTGCTTGGAGTATCAGAGGAGGGAAGGGGGCATAGTCAAGAGATGTTATGAAGGTAGAAATGTCAGGCCTGGGCAACAGTTTGGATAGAAAAGTTGAGAATGAGGAGTCCAGGAGGACACTTAGATTGTGAGCCTAGGTGACTGGGAGGATGGTCATGCCCTGGACAGCAACAGGCAAATTTGGACGAGGGGAGGTTTTGGAGGGAAAGATAAATCCATAGACATAGTGAGTTGAAGATGTCTACAGGACGTCCATTTTGGGATGTCCAATAGTAGTTGGAAGATGTGAGCCTGGAGGTCAGGAGAGAGCCTAGGGCTGGACAGATCTGCCACTCATCTGCGTCAAGATCGTAATTGAATCTGTGGAAGCTGATAAAGTCATCAAGCAAAAGACTTGGGAACAAAATAGAAGGATAACAGAAGAGGGGCCAGGACAGAGCTTTGGGGAACACCTGAATTTAGTGGGCATGACCTAGTTAAAGATCCAGCAAAGGAGAGTGAGAGGGAGTGGACAGATAGGGAGGAGGAGAAACGGGTGAGTGATGCCCTGAAAGGCTAGAGAGGTTATCGAGGAAGAGAGAGTAATCAACAGTGACGAAGGTCAAGGAGAAGGAGGGTAGAGAAAAGGCCTTTGGATGGGACAATTAAGACCGAAGAGAGTAAGAAGAAAAGGAGTGATTATAGATGACCTTGGAATGATGCAGACGCCTTCTCCTTCCTTCCAAGTGTTCATAAGTTGTTCAACTACTGGCTTTGTCCTTTCCCAGTAGTTTGAGTTTCTCTTTGGCTGGCTTCCAGATTTCGGTTCAGGAAACCAGCTAACTCTTGCAAACTGTATTTATATTTGGAGCCATTTGATTGGTTCCCACAAGAATTTACATAAGGAAGCTAATTCTGTATCTTCAGTAACTGCTTGGTCATCTGTGGATTTTCTTGTTTTATTTTATTTAATGAAGAGCTTATAGGGAACCTTAAAGTGTCCTTTGATGATGAAGAAGTGAATCCTTTTTAGCCAGAATTTTTGAGATCATTTTCTCTTTATTTATTTTCATCTTGTACTCCCTCTTAACAAGGATTACAGAATCTCCCAGCATTATCAGTATTGCGAGGACCTTAGAGGTCGTCTCCTCTAATCAAACTCTGAACTTGAATCACATCTACAGTGGCCTTCAGGGTGGTCATGCAACCTTTGCCTAAATCCCTCTGGTCAAGGGGAACCACCCTCCAAACAAGCCCATTACACTTTTAAGTATTTCAGATCACAAGGTAGATTTTCATTATATCAGACTGTCATTGTATATGGTGTATTCGTGCAGGCAGCAGGAGGAAGGCCTGACCTTCTAAACTTTGTTACAGTAATCTGCCTCCCTGAAGCTTGGAAATGTCTCCTAAGATCAAAGCATTTGGGAAGGTGGCACACAGATGAACTCCTTAGTCACCTAATCAATTTACCCGCTATTGAAAATACTTGGGTATTTCAATTTTAGCAATGCAATTATTTCTGAAGAAAACCATTTTGCTTTATAAATCCATGAGGAGGTACCATGCTTTCCAAAAATATAGGGTATGTAAGGGAGAGTGATTGTGTGTGTGTGTGTGTGTGTGTGTGTGTGTGTGTGTGTGTGACTGAGGGAGAGACAGACAGAAAGAAAGAAAGAGAAACAGAGACAGGAAGACAGAGAGACTTGTCTGATGCTCTAGTGGGGCTCCATTGTAAGGAGAAAGTGCTCTTCATACTGGGACTTGTCCTATGGGAGCTGGGGAACGTCTAAGCCAGCCTGCAGTCTCCTAGAACATGGTGGTAGGCTTGTTCCTGGAACTGCTTTGTCAAAATGACCCAAGTAAAGAAGCCCAGTGTCCCATTGTGCTTCCTGGATAAATGTTCCCTCCATAGCAAGAATTTGAAGATCTAGTCTTTCTTTGCCTTTTTAGGGCATGATTACAAAATCATTCTTACTAGAGGGAGACGGGTTCCAAAAGCCCCTTTGAATCACTTATTCTCCTGGCCCTGCCAGCCGCTGTTTCCGTAGCATTTAGGGAGAAAACCTGTTAGGGCCAAGAAGTGAACTTTTCCCCTGACTTCAATTGGCCAGTGTCAGTGTTGTGGAAAGTGTGGCAAATTTCTTCGGAATGCCAATTGTAAGGGTTGCCAGGGGCCTCTTCCCAGAGCTCACTTTGCACGGTGTCTAGTGGCCTCGGAGGACAGCCTCTGCCTCTGTCTGCTCCTCAAGGCGACAGAGTCCCTTCTGACTGCGCCTGGGCCCAGGGCCCTATGTGCCTAGGGAGATAAGACAGAGCAGATTTTCCTGGGCCAAGCAGCCCAGACTAGGAAGCTGGGAGCTCTCGGGCTTCCACAGTTCCTTTGTAGTGTCTCCCCAAAGCACCTTCAGCTTTTCCCCAAGGCCATCTGGCTGCATAGCCCATATCTGGTCATTTCCCCATTTGAGGAAGGGGGAGGGTTGATTCAAAGAATTTATTATCCTGGAGAAACCTAAGGAAAAAAATAGGTTTGAGAAATCTGCCCTCAGGAAGATAACACACAGCCCCGAAGCTAGGTTTTGTGCGGCCGCTTTTTGCCGAGTCCTTGGCAACCTTGGGTGCTCTTTCAGCGAGTGGACCTGGGGCAGCCTTTTCCATCAATCTCCCTTCCACCTTCCGGAGCTGTGAAAGCTATTTTTTAAATTGGACAGCAATTCTCAGGTGAAAGAGCAGAAGGAAACTCAAAGTTCTTCCTCTTGTTTGTTTCGAACTGTCCCAGGAGGGAGCGCCTTCCCAGGGAGAGGGGAAATGCAGCAGCTGCTAAAGAGACCGCATTCCACAGGATTCTTCAAAAAATAAAACCATCCCAGCTAGCCTGGGCGGCAGCTGAAGAGCTTTAACAGGCAATGGAAAAAATATCAAATGCTGTTTAAAGACAACATCAGTTCACAAACAGACACCCACACCCTCATATACATGTCTGCTGCATCTAGGCCTTCGCTGGGGAAGAATCCCAAGGGCATGCTGTGTGGCTCAGAATGCTGGGGAGATGGAGGTCAGGAGGTCAGTGGGTGATGAGTCCACTGACTTTGCTCTCTCCCCCACCACAAACAGCACCTCAGCCCCCAGCCTGCTATCTGGCAGATGGGTAGTCTGCGTCACAAGGAAGTCTGGGAGAGTGTGACTCAGCATGACCCACTGCCACCATTTGAGAAGCAAAACATCCCAGTGTGGCGAGGTAGAGGGCAGGCTGGGTTGGGAGGCAGGAGACCCAGACTACAGTCCCGACCTTGTCCCTTGAGACCTTTGAGAAATTGGGACTTTGGTTCCCTTCTCTGTAAAACGAGGGAGATGAAGAGATGGCTCCCAAGGGCCCTCCCAGCTCCGACATTCTGGGGTCAGACAGTTCCGGTCGGATTGGTCAGCAGCATCCAGTGAGATGGTACAGTCTAAATTCAGGATTGACAACATAATCACCCTGAAGGGTGCTGCCCAGGATTGAGGTCATGGCAGCCTCGGGAAGGAACTGGCATTGTTGAAGTTCAGCCAAGAAAAAAGCACCGAGTGTGAGGACTTTCCAAGAGCCATCAGTGGGAGCCACAACTCTGCTTCAGTTGACATCTCAGGCACTTGTCCCCAGACCTCGATGATGACCTCTTGGGAATGGTGCAGCAGAAGAATGCTGGGTTCAAATGCTGATTCTTCTACCTCATGTGTGACCTTGGATAATTCACCTCATGGGTCTCAGTTTCCCCAGCTGGGAAATGGGCTGATTGGTCTCCATGACCTTCAGGCTCCATCTTAGCTCTACCTCCACGATCCTCTGAACTCTTTGATGTATTTACCACTGGGATTAGGACAACTGAAGCAAGCCCTTGAGAAGGCTATGATGGCCTTAATCTAGTGTTCTTTGCATTACCATCTTTACCCTTCCTTTCAAATTCTCCATTTCTATGGGAAAGTTTGGGGGAGGGGAGAGACGGTGGGATGACACCTGGGAGGTAGATTTCAACCCTTCCATACCGCTCACTCTGACCCACCCAAAAATGAACGAGGGAGAGGGGAGGAGAGGCTCCAGAGGGCCCAGCAGGTAAAGAGCTCAGAACCAGGCCCGGGGTTCCTGCTGCAGTGACAAGGTGATC